CAGGGGGTGAAGAGCTCAGCGGTGTGTCCATCCCTGCCCTGTTTGTGTGGGTCACTCAGGAGGTGAGGGGTGATCTGTGTGTCCATCCCTGCCCTGTTTGTGTGGGTCACTCAGGGGGTGAAGAGCTCAGCAGTGTGTCCATCCCTGCCCTGGGCTCTGTGGGACTGGACAGAATCCCGGAGTCACTGAGGTTGTAAAGGCCCTCCCAGGCCATGGAGGCCAATGCCCACCCACACTGTCACCCGGAGCAGAGCAGGAGGAGGGGGAACCCTTGCCAGATGTTTGTTTGTTTGTTTGTTCTCAGGTTCCCCAAGATGCTGCAGGTGCCGCTGCCGCTGGACCGGGATGGGATCCTGTTCCGGCTGCGTTTCACCACGCTGGCCCTGGGCACCGTGTTCTGCCCCCTCTTTGGGTTCCTATTCTGCGTGATCTGGTCCCTCCTCTTCCACTTCCATGAGACGACTGCAACCCACTGCGGGGTGAGAGATTCCCAGTGGGAAAACAGGAATTCCTCTGGGGCTGGGGCACCCAGAGGGGAGGCAGAGCTCCTGTGTGCTCCAGGGCTCCTCCCTCTCCTTCCCTCCTCCTGGGGGGCTCCCCCCTCTCTGCCTCCCCTCCCGGGCTCCTTTCCTGCCCTTGGGCTTTCCCCCCAGCAGTGCTGCAGAACCCAGAACAAGCCACTTAGTTCCACTGTCCCTGTGATCCCTCGGGACTGGGTTTGCCTTGGTAATGGGACCAAGGGAAGCACAGGCTGGTCTGGCTGGTGTCTGTACCGGGCATGTTGGGGTGATTGTGCTGAGGGAAAACGATGGGGAAGCTGCAGGGAAAACACTGTCCTGTGGAAGGACAGGCCCAGAACTGCTGCCCCCCAGATGTGCTGGGGTTCAGAGGAGTCACAGGCACGTCCCTCAGGAGGGGGGGTCTGGAGTCCCCAATGGGATGAGGAACCCCAATGGGTTCCTCCCCAGAGCTGTCAAGCTGCTGGACGAGCAGCTGGATCTGAGCTGGGAACAGAGGGCAGGAGTCACCTCACTCCAGCAGGAGAACTTCAGCAGGGCCTGTTGCAATAGGACAAGGGGGAGTGGCTTCCCATGGAGAGAGGGCAGGGTTAGATGACATATTGGGAAGGAATTCTTCCCTGTGAGGGTGGGCAGGCCCTGGCACAGGTTGGGCAGAGAAGCTGTGGCTGCCCCTGGATCCCTGGGAGTGTCCCAGGCCAGGTTGGACGGGGCTTGGAGCACCCTGGGCTGGTGGAAGGTGTCCCTGCCCATGGCAGGGGGTGGCACTGGGTGGGCTTTGAGGTCCCTTCCAACCCAAACTTTCTGGACTTCTCTGAAAGATCAAAAGTGTAAAGCTGAGACCCCCCCAGCACTCGGGACTGTCGCAGCAGGGCTGGGGCTGCCCGGCCCTGGGGGGGGTGACGTTCCCTGGCTCTGGAAATAGGAATAAACTTACTTAGGTTTTAAAAGAGGCGGCTTCAGCTCCTCTAAGAGCTCGTGCCCCCTCCCCGTGCGCCCCACGAGCCGCTGTCTCCGCGCAGGTGCCCAACTACCTGCCGTCCATCAGCGCGGCCATCGGGGGCGAGACCCCGCAGCGCTACGTGTGGCGCCTGTGCATCGGGCTGCACTCGGCCCCCCGCTTCCTCGTGGCCGTGGCCTACTGGAACCACTACCAGAGCTGCCACTGCTCCCACCCCCGCTACCTGCGCCTGTGCCACTGCACCCTGCTGCTCAACCTGCTGGAGAACGTCGCCCTGCTCGTCCTCACCTACGTGTCCTCCTCCGAGAACTATGGTACGTGGAACACCCTCCCCGGGGGGCTGCTCTGCTGGGCTCTGCCTCGGGACAGCGGCCTGGGGGGGGGCAGGAACCAGCCCAAACCCTCCAGAAATGCTGTTAGTGTTTGCAGGGGAAGGGGATGTTCGGAACGTGCCGGTGGCCCTGCGCTGCCCAAAGCTCTTGGCTGCTGACACCTGAAACTCAGCTCTGGTTTGGGATCAAGCCTGATCAGACCCGGGCACTTCAGTGCCACTCGTGTGCCAAGGCCCTGCTGCAGGGGCTGAGGGCAGGTGAGCAGAGCTGGGTTAGAGCTCACCCTGCTTCCCCTCCATCCACACTGGGATGGGATTGGGATCACAGCTGGCTCTGCTCTGGCAGCCTGGCAAGAGCCTCCCACAGAACTTCTGGGCAAAATTTCATGGAATCACAGAATCCCAGACAGGTCTGGCTTGGGAGGACCTTAAAGCCCATCTCATTCCACGGAAAGGAACACCCACCAGCCCAGGGTGCTCCAAGCCCTGTCCAGCCTGGCCTGGGACACTTCCAGGGATCCAGGGGCAGCCACAGCTTCTCTGGGCAACCTGTGCCAGGGCCTGCCCACCCTCCCAGCCAGCAATTCCTTCCCAATCTCCCATCTCTCCCTGCCCTCTGGCAGTTTGAAGCCATTTCCCCTTGTCCTGTCCCTCCATGCCTTGTCCCCAGTCCCTCTCCAGCTCTCCTGGAGCCCCTTTAGGCCCTGCCAGGGGCTCTCAGGTCTCCCTGGATCCTTCTCTTCTCCAGGTGATCCCCCCCAGCTCTCCCAGCCTGGCTCCAGAGCAGGGAGGCTCCAGCCCTCTAAAATTTCCTGAAAACGGAATCAGAGTTTTTCAGGCTAAATCAATGTGCCACACCTGGTCATGATGGGTGGGAAATGCTCTTCTCACACATGGTCTCATCCAAGGGGACAATGTCCAGCTGCTGTTTCATCCCAGGGTCTGGGGGAGGCAGCAGGGATTGACT